CAGGAATCTCATGAAGTTCAGCAAAGGAAAATGCTTCTGGTGAGGAGAACCCCATGCCTTCAGTACCAGCTGGGAGCCGACTGTCTTGAAAGCAGCTTTGCAGAGAAGGGCCTGGAGGAGAACAAGTTGACCATGAGCCAGCAATGTGCCCTCGCAGCAAAGAAGGCCAACAGTATCCTGGACCACATTAAGAAGATATGGCACTGGTGAGACCACATCTGGAGTGCTGTGTCCAGTTCAGGACTCCCCAGTGCAAGAAAGACACAGATATATTGGAGCAGGCCCAGAGAAAGACCCTGACAATTACTAAGGTCTGGGAGTATCTGGCATATGAGAGGGAGGAGGACTGTATGTGGTGTTCTTTACCACAGTACTCCACGACTTTGTAAAGATAATTCGATATTTTCACCTTTCTTCATTATTTTCTTTGCTAATAATTACTGATATTGAACTTTTGACAACTGTTGAGAATCGAGGCAATGTTTTCTCAATTCCAAGATATTTTTTTTCTGCACAATAAATCAATTATTACTGTGTAATAGTCATTGTATGGTCCTGGAATCCTGCAAGAACCTTTACCTGCCTAATCTTAATATCTATAAAGTTAAACTTTTAAAATTTGGAGTGTGCTATTAAGGTAAAGCATATTATTCATGTATCATTTAGTAAGCTGGCGTCACTTTAATATGTTTTAGTACAGCCCAAGGCAAGATCATACCTGTTGGGGTGGTGGTGAGAGAAATGTAGATTCCTTTTTTAGGATAGGCAACTGTAATCTAGAAGGCGCTAACAGAAAAGAATTTGGGGTTATTGCGACTAACTAGTGAAGGTCTACTTAACTATATTAGCTGCTTATGTTGCACAGTTCTTGGACATATAAGCATGGGAATAATAATTGAGAAAGTGATAGTATTTTGAAAGGAGTACTACTGGAAAACTTTTTCCAGTTTGGCTGTCCATATTTGAAAAATAAAATATTGTAGTTTTCCCTGAACTCTTACAATGATCTTGAAATAAGATTTAAAACATTTTTGTATTATGAGGCAAGGTTAAGAAATTCCATCTGATCTGATTACAGAACAAAAAGTTAAGAGGTAATATCACCAGAGCTTCTCAATGCCTGTGAGGTGATTTCTGACAATAGGGCTCACCTTAACCTTGACTCAGTGGCAAAAAAACGTTCAATAGTTGTAAGCTGCAGTTATATATAATTGAGTAAGAAATAAGGCATGGACTATTATAGTGAAAATAATGAGCTCCTGGACTGTTTCATCTAGGAATAAGGTGAATACTATGTTACCAGAAGAGCTTAAGTTAAAATTGGACATATTTGTAGAATTATGCTGTAGCTTGGCTGACCTCAAAAGCTTGTTGGTTCATGTGAAGGAACTATTGTGAACTCAGGTGATAAAGCAGTATAGAAAGCATGATGTTCTGACTCAGGCTGAAGTTATGGATTTGTTGGATGAAATTTGATGTGTTAATTGTGATACAGTGATACTTTATTGTTACAGAGTTTTGGCATGTATATCTATTGATCTTGAGTCCTTCCACAGGAGAATCTACATATGAAGAGAAACAATCATCTGCAATCCACTATTTCAGTTTTGAATGTAAATTGCGCATTGAGTATTTGTTTTCAACACTACTCCAACACATGTGTCCATTTCTTTTTATTGGAGAAGAAATATGACAAACTGTTCAGAGGATTAATAGATTATATAGACTTTTTTAATAATTTCCTATATTTTGGCTGGTTAGAGCTCAAGTGGATTGATACAGTAAATATAGAAACTTCATTCTAACCCTTTGTACTTTTTGTGGATGGTATACAATTAGCTGTAATTGGGGGTAAGCTTTTGCTGTCAGATGCACTTTGTGTGTGCATGTATCAAGATTTATATAACCCAATGTGTTTTCTATTTTTTCCAAAAGTTATGCCTAGTAGACCAATGCAGTTACATGTACTGCAGCATAAAACCTAAGCCAAAGTGTGTATCACTTTACTTTAAGGAAGTCCCCTGTGTTCTTTTTCCCCTCCTATCTTGCAATGAGATAAATGTCACGACCATGCTTATTGCAGCAAGTTGGAATTGAAAATATGTTTCTGTTCTGATTTTTTTTGTTGTTTTTAATCATATAGGGTTGCAAACGCAAAACTTAACAATTTTTCTCGCCTGGAGCCCACGCTTCACCTCCTTGGTGTACAGTTTAACGAGAATGTGGCCCAAGACATCATGACAGGACAACATGGGGCTGCAGCAAAGCTTTTATATGAATTGTATATTGCTTTAGAAAAAAAGAGAAAGGCAAAGCTCACTGGAGTAGCCATGGAAGCAATGAGACCTGCAGCAACTGCAAAGCTTAAGTCTATTGAAAGTGTTTTGTATCGAGAGGTAACTAACTATGCCTATTTTGTATAAATATATAGGAAAAAAGGTGGCATATTTACATGTACCTTTCAAGCATGTTGCATGCTTCCCCTCCCCACTTTTTAAATCTCCTATTCAAAACCCAATACTTATATGGAAAAGAAGCAGTCCTTTGTTGTCTTATACATAGACAGTGGGATTACACAGTTTATCTGTGACTCATGAGGATATTGATCATCTGTGTTTTGTGTTCCTTTGTTTTGGCTCATTCTGTTACCTGCTCTGCTTTTAAGTTTTCTCCAGACTTAAAATACATATAGCAACAAAGGCTAGTAGTTTTTCAGCAGCTGCCATTTTACTCATTTGATCAGTACAGATCGCAGACTGCATTGCAGTCTAGGTATCAACTTAGACTAATTTCCCCTCCAGGAAACCTATTTATAATTGTGTTGAGCTTCGTGCCACAGTGGTTTGGTTCCTTCTGTTGCACATCTCTCCATATATTTATGCTACACTCCAGCCTGCGATAACCATATGCTGAGTATTACGAAGAAGAAAAAACAAAGGGGAAGGAGTATCTAAGAGGAAGTCAGTATCAATGTAGTAGATTCTGTTAAGGATGTTCTTCTTGTCTTCATCAGTAATGCTTAGCATGTGCAGACCATAATTTGTTATCAGGATGAGCAATCTTTAAGAAGCTATATATCGTGAATCAAATTCAGCTGGGTGAAATTTCAAATTTTTTTCTGGCACACTTCCTGAAAAATAGTCTACAAGCAGAAAGTTTACCAACAAGTGCAAGAATAATACCAAACAGTCAAAACATCCCTTCACCTATAGAGGGATAGCTTAAAGAAGATGAACCAACTGAGAGTACCTCATGTCAATAGATAGGTTCAGAATGGCAGTTGATTTGTAGAATAGTTGAGGTAGGAAGAGGCGTCTGGAGGTCACTTAATCTACCCTCCCTGCGTGAAGCAAAGCCAACTAGAGCAGGTGGCTCAGGACCTTGTTCTGTTGGGTTTTGAATATCTCCAAAGATGGAGACTTCACAGCCTGTCTGGGAAAATTGTTTATCATAGTTTCAGTTATTTTTTTTCTTATGTTTGAGTTGAAATTTCTGTATTTCAGTTTGAATATGGTTGGAGATGTGGTGGTTGGAGGCCTTCTTGGGCTTAGCGACTGTGAAATGATAGAATTCTCGATTCTCGGTGAAGTAAGGAGGGGAGGCAGCAAAACCGCAACCATGGACTTCTGGAGGGCAGACTTTGGCCTGTTCAGGACACTGGTTGAGAGAGTCCCTTGGGAGACAGTCCTGAATGGCAAAGGGATCCAGGAAGGCTGGACGATCTTCAAGAAGGAAGTCCTAAAGGCTCAGGAGCAGGCTCTCCCCATACGCCGTAAGAAGAACGGGCGGGGAAGACAACCGGCCTGGCTGAACGGGGAGCTTTTCCTGGGACTCAGGAAAAAAAGGAGAGTTTACCACTTGTGGAAGAAGGGGCAGGCGACTCAAGAAGAGTACAGGGATCTCGTTAGGTCATGCAGAGAGGAAA